AGGTTTGAGTTGGTGGAGTGCGGAGGAAAATTTTGCTCTCTGTATTGCGGAATCACAGTACTGTGGGTCCAAGAAGGGTAATGGATTTAAAAAGAAATACTGAAGTATTTCTATTTCAGTAGATTTTTTTGAGAATAGTCAGTTGCAAACAATCCCAAACTGGAGAACCCACAGCTCACGAATACCTTAGGTGCTGAGAATGCAGCGGAAAACATTCACTGCCCCCGTGGAACTCCTGCATTTTGTTGGCTGTTGGAGACCACTACAAAGTGGCCCTGAGCAGGATTTAATATTATCGAATTGGCTGTCCGTGTTCACTTGTGAGTCTGTCCAGTGCCTAGGCTCCTTATCTGGAAATGGCGGACTCAAGAGTAAGTGAACCTGTGTGAGTCACTAATCCCTACTAGAACCTGTAGTGGTGGATGAAACCAGAAAGCCTCAAAGGACAAGACAAGATCACAGCCAAGGACACCCGGGTCAGATCTCAACTAGATGAACACTATAGCCTCAGGCATCTCATTCTTCAGTCGATTAACTTCTACCTTACTTAGAGAAGTCCTTAAGTGGTTCTGCCCTTCTTGACTACACCCCTCCCTTCTCTGATAACCAAATAAATATGGGCCGACCCAGAGAAGGTGGTGGTCTTGGCCCTGAGAGAATCTTGAATTATGTGAGAGGGCTTTGACCCTCCTGGGGCCCTGAAATCATTCCTTTTGCCTCTTTTTATTAGCCTTCTACACTCATTCAGGAGATTGCAGACCTGATCAGTCCGGAATAACTAAGGGATACTACTAAACCCATAGTTGTCGAGAGAAATAATTGTACAGTTTAATCAGTTGCAAGAAATAAAGCAGGGAAGGAAGGCTCAGTGTGGACACCTCAGGAGAGGGAAGTTTGCAAGTCTGAATACGATGATGAGTAAAGTGACACCAGACCAAAAGAAGAAAGTCCGTGGAGGTAGAGGGTTCCGTGCAGGGACACGGAGGGCGAAGGCCGTGAGACACAGGCTGTGAGCGTGGAAGAAGCCACTGTAGCAGAGCAAAGAGAGGGGCAAGAGAAGGTTGGAGTGAGTGGCCAGATCTTGTAAGGCTTTGAAGCCCCCTGCAAGGACTTGGGCTTTTACTCTAGGAAGAAGCTGTGGGTGGGTTTTGAACAGAGGAGAGACCCTTTATGAGGATTACTCTGCAGTTTACAGGGAATAGCTGAATAAACCGGAGGGGTATGGGGGAGGAAGCAAGGAGACCAGTTAGCTAGTATTTCAGTTATACAAGGACAAGAAAGTGATGGGAGGTACTCTGAGGCAGACTGCAGAAAAGGTAAGCAGTGAAAGTGGTGAGAAGTTGTTGAATTTTGGATCCATTTTCAAAGTACAGCCTATAGTGGGCTGGGCATGTAGCTCAGGGGTGTAGCACCATATTTAATTCAATACAGCTAAAACATTTCAACATGTAATCAATATTAAAAAAGCTATTTTACATTCCTTTTTGAAACTAAATCTTCACAATTGGTGTGCATTTTACACCTCAACATGTCTCAATTTTTACAGCTACATTTCAAGTGCTCAATATCTCATGTGGCTAGTGGCTCCCATGTGGATAGTGTAGAAGAAGCTGTCATCTAGCATTGAGAGAGGAGGAAAAAGGGAAGGAATAGGATTCAAGAACCAGGAGTCTAAACAGTACATTTGAAATGACCATTAAATATCTTAGTAGACCTTTACAACTGGCATGTATTTCTGGTCTCTAAAGTGGTGTTTTTAAACATGTGGCTTGTAATTCATGGGAGGGTTGTAAAATCAATTTTTGATTTGCAATAAGCAATTTTAAAAAATAGAGGCCACGCATAGTGGTGCATGCCTGTAATCCCAGCCCTTGGGAGGCTGAGGCAGGAAGATCACCATGAGCTTGAGGCCAGCCTAGTTTGCATAGTAAATTCAAGGCCAACCTGGACTACAGAGTGAGACTGTCTCAAAAAACAAAACAAAACAAAACAAAAAAAAAACCAAATGTGTTACATCTGATAAAAGTTTTAATTCACAAAACTGTTACTTAGCTTTGGTTCCTATTGGGGGTCATGGTTAAAAACCATATTGAAAAAAAAAATACTGAACGTGACTGCTTTGCCATGCAGGGTGTGTAAAACTGTGACCCAGGGCTATGAACTGGTGACTAACTTGTTGGGAAGCCTTGGAACCTACTCAGGTTCTTCATGCTTTGGTTTTTCCAACTGCAGTGGGGATAAAAATAGCCGATGCTATGCATTAAAGAGGGCTTAGAACTGTGCCTCATCTGTGCTGAGCACTGGTGTAAGCATAAATGTTAGCAGACCGGGCCCCTTTCCATATTGTGATGCATGGATTGCACTTGTGTTCATCTTCCCACACATCCCTTCCACTTGAGTCTTTCCTGCGGCCGTCACCTGCTCTGTTGCTCACTGTTAGGCTCCAAAGTTAGCATTTCCAGCTGTCCTTCCTTCGGAAAAGCTCTTGCCCTGATGCCCAATATTTCAGCTAGGTCTAAGGAGTAAAATGGATTGAGGACATAACATTTCTTTCGTAGTGATACATTCTTACACAAATGCTTGAAATTTACAAGATTTGTTAGTTCAAATAATATTAACATTGGAGATTTAATATGGTGAAATAAAGTGAAGATTGTTTAGTAATAGAATGATGATTTAATATGAAGTGCTCCTCACCCTGATTTTACAAGCCACGTAGTGTCTTTTTAAGAAGAAAAGTCACATGAGTGTGCTTGTTTGTGAAGTTCTTCAATGAGTTTGCAGTCCAAGGCTGCATGCTTCTTCATTTCGGTGAACATTTGTCAGGTGCCTGCCCTGTGCAGGTCTTTAAAAATGCAATAATCTCATAGTTTTTTGGAGAAAAACACACTGGGGATGGAAACCAAGGCCTTCACACTGAGCTGTAGCCCCAGCCCTCAGCCCTACCTTTGTTTGAGACTGGGTCTTGCTGAGTTGCCCAGGATGGGCCTGAAGCTATGCTACTCCTGCACCAGCCTCCCAGAGCACTGGGATTACAGGTGTGCACCACTACTCCTGGCTCAACACCAGCAATTTAAAAGAGGAGAGGATTATCTTGATTCAAAGTTTTCAGAGGGGTCAGTCCATGGTTGGCCAGCTCCAAGGCAGAAACACCTGATGGAGCAAAGGTATTACCCCCCCCCCATGGCAGCCCAGAAGCAGAGAGAAGGGAAGAGCCATGGTCAAGAATTTGCCCTTCCAGGTCCCATGCCAAGTGACCCACCTACCTCTACCATCTCCCTAGAACTCTTCTTTTTTCCAGTGCTGGGGTTGGAATCCGTGCTAGACAAGTGCTTCACCATTAAGCTACATCCCCAAGCCCACA